TTCTTACTCTTACCTAGTCTTCCTTCCTAGCATGTTTGTGTGGGAGAGTAGTAGTAAGGGAGATGGAAACCGAGCATAAAGCCATAACTGGACTTGTACCCTACATATCCTAGATCAATACATGTTGGAAGAGCATCCTTCATCATTGTGAAGCTGGAGGACCAGCCCTTCTAGGCTCTTCCTTTGCTGTTTCTCTTTTGGGATAACAGTTTATATTGTGGAAATAGCTCAGGGGTATGTCTGAAATATATCTTAAATAAGACTCCTTTGCCTACTGCCCCATTCAGGTACAACGTAGATAAACTTGGGGCTTGTTGCTCTCTCTGCCTCTTCCTTCTAACCAGCAACTGCTCCTAGTGGTGGCAAGAAGGACCCCATTGACTGTCAGTGACCATGTGAGAAGTAAAGCCCCATTGGATAGAATTCCCCTTACCAAATATTCTTTGGCTCCCCCATTATCTGTCCCTTTCTCCATTACACACCAGTGTCTACGAAGAGCATCCTTCATCATTGTGAAGCTGGAGGACCAGCCCTTCTAGGCTCTTCCTTTGCTGTTTCTCTTTTGGGATAACAGTTTATATTGTGGAAATAGCTCAGGGGTATGTCTGAAATATATCTTAAATAAGACTCCTTTGCCTACTGCCCCATTCAGGTACAACGTAGATAAACTTGGGGCTTGTTGCTCTCTCTGCCTCTTCCTTCTAACCAGCAACTGCTCCTAGTGGTGGCAAGAAGGACCCCATTGACTGTCAGTGACCATGTGAGAAGTAAAGCCCCATTGGACAGAATTCCCCTTACCAAATATTCTTTGGCTCCCCCATCATCTGTCCCTTTCTCCATTACACACCAGTGTCTATCAGCAAAACCTCCATCAGTGGCAATCCCCTCCCCTGAGCAGGTCTTGTTTTCCATCTACCAGTATTTCTCATTTCATCTCCAAGTCCCTTTGGAAGGCACAGGCCTGGACCATATATGCATCTTCTGTGACTCCCAAACTTTCAATGCCCAAGTCCACAACTCTTCGTTACTAAAACATTCACACATCCCTGCTGGCCTGTACCCATCTTTGAAGACATATCAAATATCTCCTTCTTACTGAACCAGCTTTCAAAAGCTAATGTTAAATAGTTTTTGTACATACCCTTTATTGTAACAAATACATCTCAAGTCTCATTTGTATGTGTTTTTATTTTTAAATGCTCCAACTTTTTAGTCTAATTTGTGGGAGTAAAACTGGTAAATAAAGCTTGCTAGCATGTTTTAATCTAATTCTGCCAGTTAACCTAATATAGTAACTGGCAGGGCTTATGTGCCGACTGACATATTTTATTCAACAGTATTCAACCCCAAGCCAACAAATGGGAGGATGAGTGACTTGTGGATGGAGACACTGTATTGATCAGCTGAGTCATAACTGCTAAAAACAAGAGGCCATCTAAGGTTCTATGGGAGCAACCAGGACTATCTGAAACATTCCCACCCATTCGAGCTGTTTCAACCTTAACCTCAATGGAGCTATCCCACAGTTTGTACCACTCATTTGATCCCTTCCCCTTTACCCTGCCGGTATTGGGTTGAAACAAGATTTCCACACACAGCCTCTTATTTGGAAGCATGAGCTCTGTTTTTCTGGTCTTTAGATGTTGATTCTGAAAATGGTCAGGTGCCTCATATTTTACTTACCAAAGTTAATTTGCACATTTATTAGTTTTAGTGCAAGACAAACTCTTAAATCATTTCAAGTCTATTTCTCTGTCTTGTTTGAGAACATCCAAACATAGTCACTTCTGTTACAGCTGTTATTTTATGTAGATTTACTTGGTGCAATTGTTTTGCTTGCTGTTGTCTATTGGGTTGAAACAAGATTTCCACACACAGCCTCTTATTTGGAAGCATGAGCTCTGTTTTTCTGGTCTTTAGATGTTGATTCTGAAAATGGTCAGGTGCCTCATATTTTACTTACCAAAGTTAATTTGCACATTTATTAGTTTTAGTGCAAGACAAACTCTTAAATCATTTCAAGTCTATTTCTCTGTCTTGTTTGAGAACATCCAAACATAGTCACTCCTGTTACAGCTGTTATTTTATGTGGATTTACTTGGTGCAATTGTTTTGCTTGCTGTTGTCGCTGATGCCTTACCCTTGTGTTCACTTTCCTTCTTGATGAACTCTTCTGTGCCTGGGGAGCTTTTGTTAGGCTGTGGGAGCAATACGTTCTTGTATTGCTGTGTAAGCATGGCTGTTGCCTTCTTAGCTTTGTAAAGCCATTTCAGCGTGGAGTTGGGGTGGCAGTTACTCTCCCTGCAGTTTCAACTCCCTTGTTGCTGATGAGAAATCTGTTGTTGCTTCAGTTGTGTTCATTTGCTACAAACTCCTTTGTCTAGTTTTAAGATATCCTCTTTGACATTCTGAAGCTTCTCTGTAAGTCACCCTGGAATATTTCTGTTCTTTCTCCCGGGACTGGTGGATTTTTGTCAAGATTCATATCTTTCTTCAACCTGGGAACCCTACCATTACACTCTGATCACTGCTTCTTCCTTAAATTGACAAATGGATTTCACTAGAATTTCCATTACATCTACTTTGTTCTTTAATTTTTTTCTCCTCTAGCTTTTCTTCCCTCTCTGTTTTAGGAAGGGCTAATTTTTTTCTCTCCTTCTGTCCAGGGGTGCTCCTCCACAGTGTCTTTGTTCATTGTCTGGCTTGTGATTCTTGCCTTGAGGAACATCTTTAGTATTTTTATTACACTCTTTTCTCTTTGCATGCTCATCTCATACATGTGGGCTGTAGAAGCTTCCCCATGGAACACTTTAGCAGGGGCTCTGGCAGACTTCCCTGGTTTGGGGATAGCTTTGAGGCCGGTGCCTTGACTGGGAACTCAAGCCTTAGGATGACATTCAGAGTCTGGGCATGGGCTAACACATCTCCAACACATAACACATGTGAAAAGTTGTGTGGGTTCCAATCTTTCTTTTCTTTCTTTCACAGAGTCTGGGCATGGGCTAACACATCTCCAACACATAACACATGTGAAAGGTTGTGTGGGTTCCAATCTTTCTTTTCTTTCTTTCATGAATGTGTGTGTGTGTGTATGTGTGTGTGTGAGAGAGAGAGAGAGAGAGAGAGAGAGAGAGAGAGAGAGAGAGACAGACAGACAGACAGACAGACAGACAGACAGACACACAGACACACAGACACACAGACAACAGACAGACAGACAGACAGACAGACACACAGACACACAGACACACAGACACACAGACAACAGAGAGAGATTTTTCAGTTCATGACATGTGGCAGACAATTCTTTTCTGTTTCTTAGGGATGCCAACTCTTAGGAGTTTCTAATAACATACATCCAAATCTCTCTTCTCTGCCTCTAGCATCTGGCTTTTATATTCATTCCCATTCTCATTTATATTCACTCATCCTCTCTCTCCTGCTCCCTACTCTGAGTCCTGAGTAGTCTTTGGGGTCACATGACCCAAACTTAGTAGCCAAAGCTCTAACTATCCCTAGCCCCACATATCATTTTGCTAATTTTAGAGAGGGTCTCACTATAGCCTGGGCTAGTCTAGAACTCACTATATAGCCCAGACTGGCCTTAGACTTGCTGTCATTCTCTTGTGTTCCAAGTTGCTTGGATTTTAGGTGTGAACCACTACACCCAGCTAATGACCCTTGGACTGGTCTTTATGAATCATTTTTAACCTTGAAATTTTCACAAAAACCTTGGATGTGCTTATATTTTGTTTTGTATTTCTGTGTTTTCTCAGGGTTGGGGGAGTTCTGGGGGAATTCTGTTCCCATATCATGAAGTGTCCACTCCTAAGTGGTATGAGGACAATGCTAGGGGCCTAACACAGAGAATGAAAGGGTCCTAGGGAAAAGGGCTACTCCACTGGTTTGCTTTTTAAAACAAATTCACTTGTACATAGTTCTTTATACCAGGGAACCTATTCTTCCCCCATAGGGCATTGACTTTGTCCTCTGCTTTTGGAGTCTCATGGAATCCACACACACAGCTGTTTGTGCACAGCACACAGATGCACAATGTGTGCCAAAGGGGAAAACAAATAAACATGGGTCAAAGCTACACATAAAAGCTCAAATATCAGTCTCCTGAGATGGCTCATTGGGCAAAGGTACTTTCTGCCAAGTTTGATGACATGAGTTCAAGTCCCAGGTCCCAAATGATAAAATAGAGCTGATTACCATAATTCTTCCTCTGACCACCCCATGCCACCCCCACCCCCACATAACACTCTAAATATGTTAAAAGTTCCATAGTAGAAAAGCTGATGAGGAGGGGACAAATCTCATCTTGGGGTAACTCAATAGAGGAACTCATTACACACTGGTTTGATGTGGGTTCAGCACAGTCACTTTTTCTTTACATTTCTTTATATTGTTGCAAAGTGTAACACAGCAAGACTCAGTGGCACAAGCTTGGTCAAGCTTTCCGATTAATAAAAGCAACCTCTTCATTGTCCTCCTCTTCATTTTCCTCTTCTCATCCTCTCCCTCCTCCCCTTCCCCTCTTCTTTCCTTTCTTTCTCCTTCTCTTCTCATTTAAGCAGAGACTCAAATATGCAGCCCTGGATATATGGACCAGGCTGGTCTTGAACTCACAGAGATTCATGTGCATCTGTCTACCAAAGTGCTGGGATTAAAAGTTCACTGTCATCACATCTGGCTAAAAAGCTTTCTAAGAAATCTGTTTTTGTTTTTGTTTGGGAGAAGGTCTCCTTTTGTAGCCCAGGCTGTCCTGGAATTCACTCTATATCCTACACTATACTCTAACCTCAGTGATCCTCCTGCCTCAGCTTTCTGAGAACTGGAATTTGAGGTGTGAGCTTGGCTTCTCCAGGGATTCTTGGTGCCTAAATTAAAGAATCTGGAGATGTGATTAGCTCAGAAAAAAGAAAGAAAACCAGCTACAAAGTATCAGCACAGATTCCATGTACAGAGTTCTGTTGGCCCCAGCATGCAGGAATTACCGTGTAATTTCGAGTGAGGGAGACATCAGTACCATCTTGCAGATAATGGGTCTCCATGAAGCCACTGGCAATGAGCCCCCTGTGGAAACAGAAGTGACATAAAAAGATGAGTGTGGCACTGCATGGATATGTTGTTATGATCATCCCAGGGGTAGGAATGAAACAACTCAGTGACACTCCCAATCGGCTTCACCTCTTCAGGTTTCCAGGGAGATTATGGAGGGGACCCAAGTAGGGGACAGTCTGCAACACATGTTTTGAAGAGTTGCCTATATGGTACCTGAGGAGTCCCCTTCACTCCTCTGATCTCATTCCTCTCAGGTGCACAGTTTAGCATTTACCATGTACATGGACGCACCCCCCCACACACAACATAAGCCCACACATACCATACTCTCTCCACACCATTATCCACTCCCCCCGATTGCACCCCACACTTTAATACAATTGTACAGACAATTTCCAAGTTGGGGAAACCCACGCCCAGATGCCGCATTGCTCCACAAAGTAGAATCAGTGGCAAAGTCCCTACTAGGAAAACAGTTTTGGATCCATAGTCGGTTTCCTTACAGGTGAGAGAACCTAGCTATCAATACAGAAATGTCACAGGGGAGGTTAAAACAATGATGAAATGTTGAAAGTGTGAAAAAATGATTTGGACATACTGAAATCCTGAATTTCCAAGATAAGCTAAATTCAAGAAAGCCCCTCGTGTCCCAACTAAAACTACAACAATCGCCAGGTCTTCACTGAGGGCAGAGCTCAGGCTAGGTAGTTTTAAATGATTTTGCAGCCTGAGATTATCAATTTAAGGAGATAGAATTCTGGGTAATTAATAGAGGATTGGACTTTCTTTTCAAACTCTTATTGTCTTAATATTCTTCCAGACAAGTTCAGAATGGAGAGCAATTTCCTTGTTTTACATGGATTTCCAGAAACATGCTTTTGGTCAGCTTGGCCATTGCAGTGGGTCTGAGCTATGATGTACTTATCCATGAGTGTTTTACATGGATACAGCAAAATACATTCCACAGAGAGTTGACAGCCACACATGGGTTCTCCTGAGATCCCAGCGCTTTGTTCACCTCCAGAATATTCAACGAAACATTTGAGAGGACTTCCCTGGTGACAGTGGGGTCTCAATAGCCCACACCCAAAGTTCTCTTCTCTTTGCAGCTGCACAGGTGTCCTAGGCAGGCCAATTCTCAGGGGCCTTGTAGGCTTGCGGAAATATCCAGAGCAGAGTAAATGGGAGCAGGAAGGGAACCAGTTGGGTAGGTGGAATGGGGGACAATGAAGCCTTCATGAGAGGCGTTTGGAAGTTTTAATTGTCTTTGAAGTGTCTTTCAGATCAGAGAGAGTACAGCCGTATTCATACCTGCGGCTCTAGAGATTTCTGACGTGTCACTGCCTGCTTCTTCCTGTTATGTGTCTCTGAGCAGACCCTGGTGTGGGTGGCCTGGGCAGTTACAGCACTCCTGACTCCACTCTGCTTTCTACCAGGAGTAATTTCTCCGCTGGTTCACACTTCCTCTGGCCAACACTAGTCCCTGGATGGTTCTAGAACATTCCACCAAGGGTTTTTGTATTTACCATATCCTGTGTCTGGAGTGTTCTTTGCATGTATGTCATGTGACCGACTTCTTTTCACCCTTCTTAGTGTAAATGCTGTCTTCCCAGGGGCCCCGTCCTCTGATGTGGAATCTGAAGCAGCCCCTTCACCGTTACCCATGGCAGAGCCCTTTAGTTTTCTGTATAGCATTCCTCTTTGGTTTATTTTATCTGTTTACACTTTGCCTCTCTTTGCTCTCAAGAATGTAAGCCATAGGGGTTGCTCATTCACCATTGTGTTCTCAATGGTGCAGACCGCCCACACAGCACACAGCCTTCTTCCCAACCTAGTAAAATTCTGCCAAGCATTTCCTTTTTGATTTTTTTTGAGATTATAGTTTAATTATAACATTTCCCTTTTCTTCCCCCAAACCTTCTTATATGCCCAACCCACTCTCCTTCAAATTCATGGTCTCTGTTTTTCATTGTTACAACACACACACACACACACACACACACACACACACACACACACACACCTCCTAAATATGACCTGTTCATTCCATATAATGTTACTTTATGTATGTTTTCAGGGCTGGTTGTTTGGCACTGGACAGCCATTTGTTGTGCTCTTCCCTGGGGAGGACCACCTCTTCTGCTTCCAGCTTTCCTCAGTCACAGTTCTTTGTGTAGCATTGAGGTCACATTTCTCTTTTCTCTTCTTGCCTCCACTTTGGTGTGTTTACTGGTGTCTTCCTTGTCCAGTTCATGTTGAGCAGTCATGTTGTTGAGACTTCATGGGTGTAGCTTCTGACATTGCTAGGAGACACAATCTTATAGCAAACTCCCTGATCCTCTCTGGATCTTACAGTCCTTCTGCCACCTCTTTCACAAAGTTGCCTAAGCCTTAGGTCTGGGAGTATTTTGAAGATGCATCCATTGGATTGGACTGGGCTCCACAACTCTGCATTTTGATTGGTTGTGGTTTTCTGTAGAGGTCTCCATCTGTTGAGCCCTTTCTTCGAGTCAGGTATCCACTTTGCCTGTGTTATCTCATTTAAACCTCTATAGTAGCCAACTGTAGGGGTATCTGCTATTATTTTTGTTCATTTCTTTGTTCTCTATCTCTTGGGAGAGGTCCACCCTGGCTTTGAACTCCAGATCCTGGTTCAGTCTCTGAGAGAACAAATGTGTCACCAAACTCATCTTTAGCTCTAGACGCTGCTTTTAATATCAATTTACAAAACAACAAAACAAAAAACTACAAAGGGAGTTTAGGTGACCTGTGTAAAGTCACACCCAAGTCTGTACTTTATCTTTTCTTTTATGTGTATCAGTGGTTTTCTTACATGTGTGTCTGTGCGCCACATGTGTGCCTGTGTGTAGTGATATATTATTTATTATTTATTAAAGTTTGCCTGAGGATTCAGAAAGCAAAGTCATCCAGAAGCCCTAGAAGCCAGGCACACACCTGCCTGAACTAAAAGATCTCTACTGGTTCAAGGCCACACTGAACTACATGAAATCGATCCAGTCCTGAAGAGAAACAGCTCACACAAAGATGATCTCAGCAGTTGGGATCACACGCCTTTAGTTCCAGAGCTCATAAAAGGTATTTAAGATAGGAACAGGGTCTCAGAGGTGGCATTCATTCTCCAGCCACATTGAGGATAGGCGGCATACAGTCTCTAGCCACTTTGAGGAGAGCATAGCAGTCTGAGTGAATCTGAGGAGCAGTGAAGTTGTCACTGGCTGCTTTGCTTTTCTGATCTTCAACTTGAAGCTTGAACTCCAATATCTGTCTCTGGGTCTTTTATTTATTGTGTTACATGCCTGCAGATGTTAGAAGATGCCATCAAATTCCCTGGAGTTGGAGCAGTGGATGGTTGTAAGACAACCTGTGGGTGCTAGGAACTGAACCCTGGTCTTCTGCAAGAACAACAAATGCTCTTAACTGATCCCCATGGTTAGTGCTTTTGTGCCTTGGGGTGCCTCCAGTCATTCCATGCTAGTCAGGTTTTATCTGCTGAGCACATGTGACAGGTACCGTTCGAAACAGTGGAGAAATGTGTACAGAGTAGAATAAGGGATAAATAAATGCACAGATGCCAAGAGTCAATCCGAGAACAGCACAGCAGCTCCTTCCCTCAGCTCTTCTCCCCTGCCTCCTGGGTGACTCACATCCCACCTCCCTCCTCAGTGCATTTGATGAAATCAAGCAGGTGCTAGATCAGAGTGTTCTAAGATGTATATTCAATTTTAAAGTGGCTGGAAGTCAAAGGCCTCTGGAGAAAACAGAGAGGGGCAGATGGACAATGGGTGTATTGGAAATATGACAGCAACAATCTTGTATTTTTACCCAAAGCGAAAATCAAATTAGATGGCTCTCCATCAGCAAATGGGAGCAGAAGGTGGATACATAATTTCATGAGAACATTCCTTTCCTCTGCTTATTAGATTAGTTGACCTAACAAGGCGTTCTCTTCCCCTCGACACCAGACAATGAAAAGCATCTTAACTGTGCCAGGAGCTGATGTTGCTGGTTCCCATTTGCTTTGCTGTTATTAGTGATACCTACATAACGCTCTCATTCAGCCGCTAATTATTGTGCTGGAGCCTGGAGGTAAGGCAGAGCATGACCTTCCCCATCTGGGGAAAATAGATCGGATTGGCCACAGCTGTTGGAGACACACCTAGAGCTCTGCCTGGGGTCAGAGAACTGCTTCCAAGCCTGCAGTTATTCCCGGAAGTGGTACCCAGGAGGACTGGGAAAGGTGATGGGAAAGAACTAGTTACATTTGAACAAATGTGGAGAAAAGAAGATGCTGAAGACATTCCAGCCAAGAGTGGCCACATACTGAAAGGCCCAGAATGAAGAGACAACAGGCTGCGAGTCTGGGCTTAGTGAATGTGATAGAACATGTAGCTACTATTCAGATGTGTGTGTGTGTTTGGGGGGGGTGAGTGTGTGTGTGTGTGTGTGTGTGTGTGTGTGTGTGTGTGTGTGTCCTGCTTGGAGTGGGTCTTACAGACTGCTACATGTTATTGTTTTTGTTCCCTACAAACAGAAGCCATGACACATGGTGATGACCTGAGCTGATGGCAGCTTTGGGACACTTCTCTACTCTGACAGTGATGTGAAAAAAATTTTAAGGGGAAGGAAGGAAACAGGAAGGCTACAGAAGAGGCCATTGTGCATGTACAAAGGACTGGCCAGCACCATAATATCCAGGAGTCACACTTAGGAGAGGCCAGTGCAACAGCAGGTGCTGACAATGGCTGGCGTGGGGGGTGTCAGGAGGCCACCTGGGATTGGACAGGAGCTTGTGAGTTCAGTTCATAAACACTGAGTATGGGATACTGAGGGACCTTTCCTTGACTGTGTCCCTTTAGCAGCTAACTGTGTATGTGGCTTGGGGTGGAGACATCATGCAGTGTGGTGGGCGACAAGCAGAATCCTACCCTTTCCGTCTGGACACTATTACCGGATTTCAAAACCTTTGGACACACACTGCTGACATT